CCGCCAGGCGGCGGCCGCGGACGCAAGCGAGCGGAGCATAGTCTCCTGTTCCTGACTCAGGTGTGCAGCTGCGGCTTCTGCGGGCATTGTGCTGGCGTCCGGGGCCCAGCCGTGAAGCAAGTAAAGGTCTGCGTACCGTGTCCAGGCAGACAGCATCTCTAGGTGGTGGCGCACCATCTTGGGGCTGCACTCCAGTTGCAGGTCGTTCTCCAAGGCTTGCGGGCTGCGCCACATGGCCGGCGCAAGCAACAGGCACGTTGCGAACCAGCGGTGCGTGGCTGGCACCCGGTCAGCTGCCTGCGTTTGCAAGTCCGCCTCTTTTCGGAAAGCCACGTTCGCAACAAGCCACTGCCCGTAGTAGGCATCCTTGGTGCGAGACGCGTAGAACACGGCCAGGGACACGCCGTGGTCTTCAGAGGCGTACGGCCGCGGCTTTTCCACGTTCTCCGTGCGAAAACCGCGCAGCCACTGCAGGTAGGTCAGAGTCTCGGGCCGGACCGGGCAAGCCATGTACTTCCGGACTAGCGGGTCATCAGCCGCATCTGTGGGCAGTGGCAGCCACACCTCCTTGCGCGCCACCGTGCACTTCCAGTTGGAAGCTTCCCGCAGCATGTCCAGCTGCTTCATGACGGATGGGCGGCAGGAGCGCAGGTACAGGCGGGCGGCCGTCAAGGAGCTGCTGCACTGCTCCAGCCAAGTATGGTCTAGGCCAGAGACATCCTTGGCCGTATACGCGCAGACCTTGGCCATGTAGTCGCTGACCTGGCCGGGGCGCACAACCACGGTGACATCGGTGTGCGCCAGGTAGCTGGCCGCAAGTGTGCTGAGGCACAACCGTGCCGAGCCCTCGCCCTCCAAGCGCAACGCGCCGCCGTGCCACTCCGGGCTGTCAACGCCTCCCACATAGGCGCCCAGCGGGGTTCTGGTCGGCTGCTTCTGGAGTGTCCGCAAGGCTGTCTGCAGCCAGGCGGGGTGGCCGTCTGACGTGCTGCACATCCACTGCAAGAAGCAGTTCCGATGCGGATCCCGCAGCCACACCAAAATGTGGGCGTGCTTGACGCCGGTTCCGTGGTAGTCCTCCCGCGCTTGGCGAGCGCCGTCCTGGTACTCGTACTTCACCACAGCCGCGAGGATCGGGTTCTCCGCCTTGTTGCAGCGCAGCAGACCGTAGGGGCTCCGCAGACTTCGCTTGTCGCGGTGCAGCACGTAAGCCGTGCACAGCTCCTCAAGCAAGTGCGAGATGTGCAAGCACGCCAAGGCGTTGCATCCGAGCACTGTCACGCGTCCTTGTAGCATCGGCTGCTCCACGACCGCTGGCAGCGGGGCTTCAAAGAGGCCCGGGGCCAGTCAGAAACAGAGCCGCAGCCCCATACTGGCGGTGCAAGTCCACGACGTGCGACTTGGTCGCGTAGTTCTGCTGCGGCGCATCAGGAAAGCGCCGCAGAAGCCACTTCAGCGGCGTGTCCGCACCCACAGCTCCCCGGGCTGTGAAGTACCCGGTCACCCAGCGATCGAACTGGAACTGTATGAGCTCGTAGTTCAGCCCGTAGTCCTGCACCGGCCCACAGACTTTGGCCAAGAACGCCTCCTTGGGCGAGCGGTAGTTGCCTGCTCCACGCCCGTGCGACTCGCACCAGACTCGCCACGGGTAGAGGTCTGGGAAAAGAGCGCACTCAACGTGCGGCTCAAGCAGCCCAAAGGGGCCAAGGGAGCTGCCGCCGCGGTCGTCGCGTAGCATGGCCTCGTGTCGCTGCACCCACTCCCCATAGGCAGACTCTGCGTGGCTGCAAAGAAAATGAAAAGCATCCAGCGCCCGTTCCTGCCACGCGGCTGGCAAGGCGGCCACCTGGTCTCGAACGTGGCACGCTGCCCAGGCCAGCCGTGTAGGTCCTCCGTGGCGTATGAGCTCACCCTTGCCTTGTATCCGCTCGCCCTGGTGAAGCACCACAGGTCGCAGCGCCACAAGCTGCCTAGGGCGCAGTCCAACCAGCACCGCAGGAAAGTCATCCGCCTGCGGCACCACGTGCCCGGCCCGACAGAACCGGCAAGCACCGACCGCTTTGGCAGCGTCTGCCTCCACGCCCGTGTCAGTCAACACCGCCAAGTCGAAGGCGCGGCCCTGCACTGCGCCGCAAGTGGCACAGGGGGCCCAGGCCTGCGCCACGCTCCACAGCCGCAGTCTCTCCGCCACCAGCCGAGTTTGCGCCGAGTCCGGCAGGCGCTGCGCCTCTTGCAGCGCGGCCTCTGCAGCCGCACGGGCCGCCGCCCGCCTGTCAAGGCGCCGCGCCTCTGCCTCCGCCAGCCGGGCTGGCGCGGCCCCGGGGCGCCGCACACAGCAGCGTTTGCTCAGCACCTCTTGCCAGGACACTTCATCTTCCAAGTCGCGGGCTCGCACCCGACCGCGAGCCATCTTGCGGCTGCATACGTGTCACGTTCCAAGTGGCCCAGGAAACAATGCACAACCCGTCAAGCACAACCTGTTGGCTCCCGTCAGTGTGAAATGGCTACGGGCAAAAACAACGCACAACCTGCCTGCTTCCTCGACGCTCCGACAGCAAGGGCCTGGCAGACAAGCAAGTGGCTACCTGCAAAGCAAAACACGCGAAATGCCTGGAGCACCAGCAAGAAGCAGTGGCCTGGCGCGAAAAAAACACGGAAAGCGAGTCTGTTGTCGTCTCTCGTGCGCACTTGGGGACGATCGAGCAGCTGTCAGAAGCCTGCCACAGGGCTCGAAAAACAACCTGCAAAACCAGTCTGCCAGCGTGTCTAACTTGGCCCCCAGCACCAACGGCCGACCAAGACCTGTCGCCAGGCACGTGTCTCTAACATGAGAAACATAGAACGCGACTCCGGGGTGCGCCTGGGAAGCACCAGAAGCCTGCCACGTACAAGTATAAAAAAAAAACTGTTTCTGGCCTGGCCCTAGCGCCAACGGCCCGCCAGCTTGGCTGCTTGGCAATCCATACCCTGTGGGTGTCTCTTAGCTTCCCTGCTCCGGACACACCACTGCGTCCGGAGCAGGTAGGCACGCCCAAAGCGACGAAGCCACGCTCGGGCGCAGGTTTGTCGCCACGCCACACCTCTGGCCCCAGCTCGGCAATGCCGGGGGGAGGGGGTCTTACCAAGGTTCGAGGAGACCCCAGCATACTCCTCAACTGCGCCTGCGACAGCATCGATGCTGTCACGTGCACGACTGGCCGTCGTGAACACGTACAGATCATCCAGGAAGGCCGCAAGGCGGTCGCCAGAAGCGAAGCAGCAGCTAGGGTGTGGCGCTGTGCCAAGGCAGAGAGCGCCGGGGCCAACGGGTCCCCTTGCTCACAGCCCTCCCCCTGGAGGATTCGGTGGCAAACGCCTTGGCTGTCCCACCACAGGTAAACAGACTGCCTGGCGTAGAAGCCACGCACAAACGGTAACAGTGCCGGCGCAACCTCCTCGAGCTTGCGGAGGAAAGCGGCGCGCGACACACAGTCGTACGCGCTGCGACCGTCAAGCGAGACGACGGTTCAAGCTCCACAGCAACCCGCAGCATGGAGGCAAGGCAGTCAGTGCCAGCGCGCGCCTGCAACGCAAATTGGAAGGGGCGCGTAGCCTCATCGAAGCGGGCCGCATACCTGAAGCGCCGTGAGGCGGGCCAAGGCCAAGGCCGACAAGGCCTCCTCCGGAACATCCCCGTTGGCGAGCAACGTGGCAACCTCGACAAACTGGGCGAGGGCCTCCTCGTCAGCGAGGAGTAGCTTGCAGTGCTCAGCGGTGGCTCCGGACAGGCCTGCCGCGGCACCCTTCTTAGCCGTCCGCAACGAATCAGCGAC